TGCAGATGTATCCCCATGATGACTTTCATGTGATACAGCCAAGCCTGGATCAACTGTAGCCTCCATCCTGTGTACTGGGATGTCTGTGCTGGACTTAGGTTGGTTTTGTTGATGATGAGAATGTCTGTTTGATCGACATATGGTGGCTTTCAGAGTCTGGGGGAAATCCAAGTAGAAAAACGACTTATTAGAAGAGAGATCTGGGCTATATAGAGAGAGATTTGGCTGCCATCAGCATATAGGTTCATTCATTCATTTGTTCATGTATATAGTAATATTTTATTGAGCTTCTACTTCATGCCAACCCCTGATGAAGGTTGGAGAAGGAAATGGCAACCCACTCCAGTATTCTTGCCTGGAGAATCCCAGGGACAGAGGAGCTTGGTGGGCTGCTGTCTATGGGGTCGCACAGAGTTGGACACGACTAAAGCGACTTAGCAGCACTAGCAGCTGATGAAGGTGTAATAGTCTTCTTTCACAAAGCTAACATTTAGTGGATATGTGGCTCTTGGGGGTAATTAATGCCAGGGGAACAGCTGGGATTCCCCTACAGGGAACTTTTGAAATGAGAACATGTGGCATCTACCTGACACCAGAAAACCACCACAAGGAGCCTGTTAAGGACACTGAATAGCAGACAGACAAAAACACATCTAACAAAATACACAGTGAGATACAACAGAGATACACAGTGGTTCACAATTTTTAGAGGTTATACTCCATTTATGCCTATTATAAAATACTGGTTATATTCCTCATGTTGTGCAACCTATCCTTACAGCTTGCTGCTGCTGCTAAGTTGCTCAGTATGTCCAACTCCTTGTGACCCCATGGACTGTAGCCCATCAGCCTCCTCTGTCCATGGGATTCTCCAGGCAAGAATACTGGAGTGGGTTGCCATGCCCTCCTCCAGGGGATCTTCCCAACCCCGGGATCAAACCCATGTTTCTTATGTCTCCTGCATTGGCAAGTGGGTTCTTTACCACTAGCTCTGCCAGGGAAGCCCCATCCTTATAACTTATTTTATACCTAATAGTTTATACTTCTTTTTCTCCTACCACAATATTGTCTTCCTTTCTTCCTCTCCTTCCTGGTAACCACTAGTTTTTTCTCTGTATCTGTGAGTCTATTTCTGTTTGTTGTTGTTGTTATATTCAGTAGTTCGTTTTATTTTTTAGAATCTATGTATAAGTGATACCATACAGGATTTGTCTTTCTCTGTATGACTTTCTTCACTTAGTGTAATGCCTTCCAAGCTCAACCATGTTGATGTAAATGCCAAATGTTCATTCTTTTTTATGGCTGAGTAATATTCTTTATCACATCTGCTTTATCCATGGATCTGTTGACGGATACTTAGGTTGCTCCCATATCTTGGCAATTGTAAATGATACTGCTATGAACATTGGGTTGCATATATCTTTTCAAATTATTGTTTTGCTTTTTGATACAAACTCAGCAGTGGACTTTCTGGACTATGAGGTAGTTCTATTTTCAGTGTTAATGGAAAAACAGTTTTCCATACTGTTTTCCACAGTGGCTACACCAATTTACTTTTCTACTAACAGTCTACAAGGGTTTGCTTTTCTCTAAATCTTGTCAATATTTGTTATTTGTGTTCATTTTGATGATAGCCATTCTGACAGGTGTGAGGTGACAGTTTATTGTGGATTTGATTTGCATTTCCATAATGATTAGTGATGGTGAGCCTCTTCTCATGTGCCTGTTGGATGCCATTTAATCAGCTTTTAAACTAAATCAGAAAGAATAAAAAAAAAAAACAGTAACTAAGGAAGTGTCAAATCTGGCACATGCTTGGTAGGAAGACTGTACATTGATGAGGTGTTTTGGGAAAAGCTATTTGGAAATACGTGTCAAGAGCCTAAAAATTTTACCTATCTTTAAATCCAACTATTTCCTTTTTGGAATGTACCACAAACTGTTATTTAGTCATGAATAGATGGAAAGGCTTAGACATCAGTATTATTGTCACAATGTTGTTTACAGCAGTGAGTAATTAGAAACGACTTACATGCCTACATGTAGGGGGTTAGTTAAATAAAGGATCAACATGGTTCTACAGGCACTACACACCATTAAAAATGAAGATGTAGGGGATTTTTAACAACATAGGAAGTAGTCATGATACTTTTTTGTGACATAAGAAAGTCATGAACTAATTTATGAGGAAATGGATTGAGAGAAGATATTAGCAATTTTTAAAGGCAACACGGGATCTGTTTTTAGAATATACTCTCTCAAAGCAACAAGAAAAAGATAGGCAAAGACAAATAAGCAAAGATTTTGAGTGGTCATTTTTCAGAAGAGGAAATCCAAAGACTATGAGTCATATAAAGAGATGCTCAGATTCATTGGTGAGACAGATGCAAATTAAAATGAGGGATCACTTTACTTCAATCTGATCGGCAAATATTAGAAAGCAAGGTGATGACAGGCAGGGGTGTGGAGGAGATGGCAGAGGACCCTTTGGAGGTGGGGGAGTGTGGCTCGGTGCCAGCTTTCTGGAGGCATCTTAGCCGACTGTACTTGGTTGAATCAAGAGACATACCTTACTGACTCAGCATTCCTGCCTAGGTGTTTGTACTCAGAGCCAGTCACATGCAGCCCTGTGATGGGAGCCTGGTGGGAATGTCCAGGACAGGATGGAGGGCAGTACAGGAAATCTCAGGCAATCTGACCATCCACTGTGGAGTGAACAAATCAAACAGGCACATGATGCTGAGTGTGTAACATGGAGCAACAGTTAGAGGAAACGCGGTTGACAAATACAGAGCCACATGCTTGGGTCTGAAGTCATAATATTGAGTGAGAAAGTAAGTTGAGAAAAGATGCAAAAAGCCATTTGGGGAAATTAAAATGCCTTCAGAAATCATGCCATGTTTTATAAGGACCCATGCTATCAAGCAGGTGGGCTGGGTGGGGTGGGGTAGACGGGAATGGGGGATGAAGAGTCTAGGGAAAAGTGAATAAACAGTCAACACCTGGTCAGGAAGGAGACAATGCTGAGATGGTGTGAGGCAACTGCCACCTGCCCCTGAGGTGCTGAGTGCTTGCTCACTCAGTCCTGTCCATCTCTTTGCGACCCCATGGACCAGAGCCTGCCAGGTTCCTCTGTCCATGGGATTGCCCAAGTAAGATTACTGGAGTGGGTTGCCATTTCCTCCTCCAGGGGTCTTCCTGGCCCAGTGATTGAACCCTCATCTCCTGTGTCTCCTGCATTGCCAGGCGGGTTCTGTACCACTTAGCCACCTGGGAAGCTCGGCAACTGAGGGTCAAGCCCCAAATGAAAATAAATAAACCCCAGTGAAGTCCCAGCCAACCAACCAATGAAAGCAAAAGTACAAATAAAAATTTTGTTCCAATGATATTATTAAACAATATATTTGTAAGAAAAGCTTGAATATCAATGGTCAGCTTTCTAGATGTAGGCCTGCTTGATATTCTTCCTGATATTTTTTTCCTTCCCAATTTTTGATGCTGAATGTACATGACTTTTGTATAAGAAAATGACTTCTGCAAATGAAGTCTGAGAGTAATAAGTATGTTTGATAGAAGAAGAGCAGGGGCTCAAGGAGTTTTGTACCTAAAGGGTGAGAACATTTCAAAGAAGGATGGCTCATCTGGCCATGTGATCTTTAGTTAGTGGGATTTCTAGCCTACAAGGATTCTGTGTTTGGGCTAAGAATAAAGCATGATGTACCTTCTCAGCTTCTTAGCCCAGAGCAAAACATTGTGGATCCACCTCTGTGTCTATTTGTCTGGTTGCCATCCCTTGATTGGTGGCTGTCAGTCGCTGGCTGGATTCCAGGTGGGCACCTATGTGGTGATATGGTGACATCATGGTTGGGGAGAGCTTCTTGAAGGGCACCTTGACACTGTGGTCTCTGCTCAGAGTTTCCAACACTCCTGACAAACAAACAACAAACAAACGTTTATTGTGCTGTGAGCCTGTCCTGCCTCAGCTACAGAGTCTGGCAATTGAAAAGTCACAGACACAAATAATGGTACTTTCTCAAGGCTACCTATCTGGCAAATAAGCCTTTGGCTAGTTTTATGGGCTTCCCAGGTGGCCCTAGTGGTAGAGAATCTGCCTGCTAATGTAGGAGACACAAGAGACACGGGTTCAATTCCTTGGTTGGGAAGATCCCTTGGAGGAGGGCATGGGAACCCGTGCCGGTACCCTTGCCTGGAGAATCCCATGGACAGAAGAGCCTGGCGGGCTACAGGCCATGTGTGTGCAAAGAGTCAGACATGACTGAGCGACTGAGCATGCACACATGGCATATATTCCTGTCCTCAGGCCTACTGCCCCCAGCTTCCCAGCGTGTAAATGTCAGTTTTGTGTGTACTAACACAGAAGTTCTTTTAAGTTAACTTGGGGATTTCAAGAGTCATTTTGAGGGTAAAGTTCTCTAAAAATATTGAGTGTGAAGCTAATAATGCTGAGAATGAAGAACTTGCATCCTTTTAGTCTCATGTGATGTAGTTAAAATAGAAGATGTGGAATTACATGCCTCTACAAATATTGAGAGACATTTACATGTTTCTTCTATTTACTCAGCATTTTTAAAGAGGAATAATGTCAGATAGTAAAAAAAAAAAAAACAGATTTGGTATTAAAGGTTTACATTTCAGCTGGACGTCTCATTGCTGGGTGCCTTTTGGATCATCAGTTTCCTTACTTAAATAGAGAAAATAAGAGTACCCATGTCTCCTGTGAGGGAGTCTGTGTAAAGAGACCAGGATGGTGCCTGGCAAATGTTAGATTGTCAGTATGAGTCACATCTAAGTTGGAATCTCTTTCTTCAGAAGTGTTCCTTATTTTAGTCAGTTTCAGATTCTTAGAGGAACCATCTGCTATAGGAACTGGACTAAATAAGGATGATATTTCGTTCCATAATCAGCTTCATCAGAAAGTGTTGTGATGGGACTGTTCAGTTTTCTTGTTTGTTCTGAATTCAGATCTGCTTTGCTGAGGCATGGAGGCGAAAGATGTCTCAGAGGCTGAAGACAGAGCTGAGGATCCAGGTTCTAAAAATAAAGGCCAGCCTGATGCTGCACAACCTGATTTCCCACCAGGAGGGCAGACCCCTGGCCCCACTGCCCTCTGGGACATGCTAGAAAGGAAATTTCTGGAATACCAGCAGTTGGCTCCCAGGAGCCCAGCTGAGCAACAGAAGAGCCTGTTGAATCTTCTCCCACTGTTCCTAAAGGTTGGTATTCTCATTTTTGAAACTGTAAAAAGATGATACAGCACTCTGGGGACCTTTCTGGGATGATTGGAAGCTGGAGTCGGTGGTTTTAATATCATCACGAGTGATCTCTGACTGGTTGCTTAGAGGAGAGTGTTGTGCTGTTTAATAAAGATAGCAGCAAGGCTTATCTCCAGGGTGAGGATGGACTTGGAAAGGATGGACTTGGAAAGGATGGACAGTTGGCTCTTGAGTATTATTGTCTCTTTAGTTAAAAAAGGACGTTGTTCAACAATGATATTGTTCAATACCTGCTTAGGAGCCAGAGGAGAAACCTGCTCCTTTGGAAACTAGGAAAGGAATCTGTGTCCTGACATGTGAGTGGCAGGGTGGCTGGTAACTCCAACACCAGGGCCTGGGAGAGTCAGAACATAAGTTGTGTCGATGTACGCAAACTGATATATAATCAGTGGGGAGCAGCAGAGCAGTATTCCCTTCCTTGGTTGTAGATACACAGGAGAAGCCCAGCCTGTCCACTGGGCTGGCACTCTGGCTCGTGGCAGCTGGGAACAGTTTCGGTACAAGGAATTTCCTTTATTGTCTTGGAATAAAGTTCCTGCCAGTGAGGTCTGCCTTGGAGTTGAGTATGTTAAAATCTAATTGTAGAGTTAGAAAAGCATTCTTTTTATGAAGACTTAGTTTTTGCTTGACCACTGATTTTGGGATATTATTGCAAAATCCGTGTACTTAACATTCAAAGTATGGAGAATATGAGATATTTTCACATTTGAAAATAAACTTGGATATCCAGGTGGAGGTTTTGGCAGATTTTTATTGGGAAATCCCTTTGCTAATATGTTTCATCTAACCTATTAACCAGAAATACTTGATGATTTCCAAAGATGACTCAGAATTTTCTTGGGATCATATTTACAGGATGCACTGAATACTTAGGCATGCCTTTCTGTAAGAATTGCCAAGTAACTTATTGTTTATGAATTCATAATTTTCTCCATGTTTTGGACTGGTATGCTCCACATATCCCATTTCACAGATTGGATAACTGGTGCATAGGGAACTTACTGGAAAAGAGCAACTAGATACAGAGAGGCCACTTAGGTTTCTCATTCCCAGCACTTCCTGCTCTGATGACCCCAACTTCTGGGAGGCAGTCTTACCCAGTTCTCTGATCAACTTTGCCTTATAAAAGGAAACATGTGAGAATCGCTGCCTCTCACCCACCAAGTCACTGGGAAAGTATATGGATTCAGCAATAGCACTGTATCTTTCCCACCCCTCTGAGCAGCCCTAGCTCTGATGAAAGGACTCTGCACCTGAGAGCCAGGGCTTGATACCTCTTTGCCTCACTCCAGATTGTTGATTTGAGAATTCATTCTTTTGTTGTACAAAATGAATTCAGTTTAGTCACTCAGTCATGTCCAACTCTTTGTGACCCCATGGACTGCAACACACTTTTATGTCCATCATAAGCCATCATGATGGCTTTTATGTCCATCACCAACTCCCGGAGCTTGCTCAAACTCATTTCCATTGAGTCAGTGATGCCATCCAACCATCTCATCCTCTATTGTTCCCGTCTCCTCCTGCCTTCAATCTTTCCCAGCGTCAGGGTCTTTTCCAATGAGTTCAGTTCTTCACTTCAGGTGGCCAAAATATTGCAGTTTCAGCTTCAGCTTCAGTCCTTCCAATGAATATTCAGGACCGATTTCCTTTAGGATTGACTAGTTTAATCTCCTTGCAGTCCAAGGGACTCTCAAAATTGAATTCATTCAAAAATGAATTGGTGCCATTTCTTCAAAGTGGAAAGTTTTCATGTGAGACTCAGATTTCAAATTCCTCTTGAAAATATTTGTAGCTGCAATAGTGCTAATTGGATGGAGATGGTTAGGGGCACTTCTTTAAACAGAAGATGGTCTTGGTCTCTTAGTTTACCCTAGTTCCTCACTCCCTAATACACCCAATCCACATCACTGATTTATGTTATCTGAACCTATATACACATTGACCTCATGAATAGCAAGTGGTTCCTATTATAACCTAACATCGATATTGGTTCATATTTCCCAAACCCTTTCTTAATTACAGGAAGAACGATGGCCCTATTGTTGAATACATGGGATTTCGAGTCAAACAGTCGGGCTCCAGTCCCAGCTCCATTACTTATTAGCTGAGCATCCTTGAGCAAGCTACTAAATTTTACTGAGCCTCAGTTTCCTCATCTGTAAAGTGGAATCAATACCACTTTGCTAGGATACTGTGAGGGCGAGATCAGATGAGGATTGTAAAGTCCACAGCACATGGAAAGTAGACATGGTGCCCATTTCCTTTCCACCAGTCTCCTGGAAACTGACTGCACATGTACAGTTTGAAATCCCATTAGTTACCATGATCCCCAAAAAAGGTGACAATATCTGCTATGTTTTGGATCTCTGGAGCCCATCTCTGAGGCAGACTATCACCAGCAATTTTTTTTTATCATTTTCTTAAAATCTATATTCTTTTAAGGCCCATATGCTTACAAACCTGTTGTTCCTATTAACTTTTGACCAATAAAATCCTGCCAGAACTATAGCTCTCTAGCTTCTTAATTAAGAGCTGGTAGCAGAAAGGAACATGGGGAAGGTGGGAAGTTGGTTTTTTTTGGGGGGGAGGGGTTTTAGTGCAGATAAAATCTGAGCTGTAGATGAAGCCCGAGGATGGCCATTGGATTACAATGTGAGAAGTCAAGCTTGTAAAAAGTCTCTTCTGAATTGTATATCCATAAAACAGAGTTCTTTAAGTTTGTTTGCAAAGAACCCTCTTAGGAGTATCAGGACTTAAAAAGCCATCTCCTGTGGCATGTGGCCAGTCAAGACTTTCCTATATCTCCTTGAGTTCAGAAAGACTGCCACCCCTAGGACTTGTGTTATTTAGGGAGTTGACTCCAGGATGTTGCAGATAAGGAGGTGTTTTTATTGCATCACGCAGGAAGAAGCACAGAGCCAATGAATTCCCAGGGTGCAGAGTGGTGCTGGCAGTAAGGATTCAATGGACCATTGTTCTTTCCCTGCCAAGAGCCTTGGGCTTTGGTCTTTCTGAAACCTTCCTATCATAAGCTCTTAGAGCAAGAGAAGGCCTTCCTCTCACAAGTATGGGCAGGTCCTGTTGGCCTCCAGTTGACCTTGCTTTAGGGAAAAAGGAACTTCTTGCATTCTTTCATTGCATATAGATATTGGGTAATAATAGACGGAGAAACTAGAGTTACAGGTGTAGTTGTTGAAGATTGTCCCTAGAATATGTACTTTGAGAGAAAGCAGGCAGCTAGATGATGGGGATTCCTTGGCAATTAGTGTAAAATTCCTCCTTGTCTGGGACAGACAGTCTCAGGGGTGGGATGACCTGGGGAAAAAGGCAACTCTGTGCATTTGGTAGATTAGGGATACTGCTAATAGGTTCACACTGCTCCCTTCAAGAGGTGACATCTGTGTCCTCTCCCCTGGAACCTGGATGGGTTTGTGATGGTTTGACTAATTGACTAGGGCAAAAATGACATTTCCAGGCTCAGGTCTCAAGAGAATTGTAGCTTCTCCCTGTCACTTGGAATACTTGCTCTTAGAACCCTGATGCCATGTTGTGAGGAAGCACAGGCAGCCCTGAGTAAAAGCCCATGTGGAGAGAACCAAAGCTCCTGACATTGCAGCTGCACTGCTGTTGACAGCCAGAACAATTTGCCAGCCATGCGAGTGTGCCATCTTGGACCTCTTAGCCCTTGTTCACTGCGCCAGCTGAGTGAAGCAGAGAAAAGCTGTTCCTGCTGAGCTCTGCCCGAATTGCAGGTCCATGAGAAAAATAAATGATTGCTGTTATTTTAAGCCCCTCAATTTGGGCTTGCTTGTTATACAGCAGTAGATAATCAGGACAGTGGGTAACACAAGCAGGAATCCATTTATTTCCTAGTGCTGGGGGATTGGAATTAAAGCCAAGTCAGTTGTGTGTGTGTGTGTGTGTATACGTGTGCATGTACACAGGTGTGCATAGGTACTCTTAGGCTAACTGCCCGGCCAGTGGTACAGAGTTTATGCTGTTGGATGTAGTCAATTATTCTTATATAAACCCAGCATGTACTCAACTGATTATGGAAGAGAGAGAAGTGACATTAAATATAAAGCAAGGATGACCAAGAGTTATTTCCAAGTGTGGTATCCAGAGGGGATGGTGAGGATAAATACTCCCTCTTGTTCATCTCTGGCTCTAATCCACTTCAGAATGGGGCCTGCAACATGGTTTATTCCCTTCTCAGGGGAACAATATTTTTGTTATGTTAATAAACTTTTGATGCATCAGTTTTTTCTGCTTACAAAGGAGAGAATTATTTAGCAGGGAAAACTCATGTAAAGTATCTGAAATGTTTTGAGTTTACTTAAAGGCCAAGTCATCAAACTCTGCAGCAATGAAGAAATAGCAATACTGCAGTCACACTTGAAAGGTTCTCTTTTGAAAGGTTCTCTTTCAAAGCCAAGGTTTTCTCTCATTTCCTCTAGAGCTTCTGTCATTCCTTATGCTCTGGAGACCAGAGCATCATTTTCTTTTTCTTTCTTCCATGTGAGGGGACAGACATAAGACATGATGGTGCAGCTTAGAGAATGTAAGTAAATAAAATTTTTTAAAAATATTGAGCAATATTCTCCCAGCATGCAAATCCCAATTTGGAGAAAAAATTAGTTCCTTTCGAAAGCTGCCTTAACTCTTCGGGGTCTCCATGGTACCATTCAGTAAATGATTGCCTCTGTGCATCAAATAGCACCCCAGTGGCCTGAAAGAGTTCATGGGGCCTCCAGAAGTAGCCATCATGGTCCCGGGAAGGAGTGTGAGCCTTGGGAGAATCTGGCTGAGTGTACAATTACTGTTCAGCTCACAGTGGCCCAATTTGCTTTATTGTAGAGTGCCTCCTGGAGTCCCACTGCTCAAAGACAATCTCAGTGCCTCTGAGTCAACTGCCTGCAAATCAGCCTTTCGGGGGTTTGCCAGCCCTGGGAGGAGGCACAGGCATTTGTTAGGAAGATATCATAGAGTTCTCAGTCCTGGGGAAGGAAATAATGTTACCACTGAAATTCCCAGCCAGAAGGACTGACTTTTCTCTCCAGAGATTAACTTTTCCAGGTGATAGCTAGTTTCCAGGTGGTAGCCATACATTTCTTAGACATGCTCATGCTACTTCGGTATGTGTGAGATGATTCAACTTTTTACTCTGCTGCTTAACTGGTTATCTCAGGTTACCGTGTGGTTCTGTCTCAGTTTCTGTAACGTAGGAATAATAATTATACCAATCCCAAAGGTATGTTATGTGGATTAGTGAAAACAATGCATGTCAGTGCTTGGCATAGTATTTGACACAAAACCAGCAACACATTTGGCCATTATTCTGCATAATATGGGTCCCATCATCATATGTTCACTTATTAAGTATTTGTTGGAGGTCTACTATGGAAAACAGTGCTTAAAATTCACCTAGTTGTTTTTGTAGTTTTAGCAAAGTTCTGATGTACTGTTTTTTTATTTACTTTATTTTATTTACAAAGGAAAGGTGTGACTATGTTCATTGATAGGGGTAACATTTTTTTAACAATTTCAGATACAAAGTTTTGTTCAAATCAAAATAAATAGCCAGGTACTCACAACCCATATGGGCTTCCCAAGTGGTGCTAGTGGTAAAGAACCTGCTTGCCAAGGCAGGAGAGGTAAGATGCAGGTTTGATCCTTGGGTCAGGAAAATCCCCTGAAGGCAGGCATGGCAACCCACTTCAGTATTCTTGCCTGGATAATCCCATGGACAGAGGAGCCTGGAAGGCTGTAGTCCACAGGGTCGCAAAGAGTCAGACATGACTGAGGCAACTTAGCATGCATGCATGCACCACCCATATAAAAGAAATAAAGCATTTCAGATAAACTAAAGCCACCTGTGTATAAATTCAAGAACTTATTCCCCTTCCGCTCACTCCCAATGGTAACTCCCAACCTGCTGAATTAACATGCCCTATGTGAAATGATATACAAAGAGACAGCAAGTTGTAAAAGTATATTATGGTATTATTCTAAGACACCTATAAAACTGTATGGGGATCACATGTAAATCAGCTGATTCATGTCAATGTAAGGCAAAAACCACTACAATATTGTAAAGAAATTAGCCTCCAACTAATAAAAATAAATGAAAAAAAAAAAGAAAAAAAAACTGTATGTAAATTATACAATAATATGGGTGTATTTTTTTAACCATAAGTAATACTATCATGTAATTATGTATAGTCTCACAAGTTGTTGTAGCTCAAACTGTAATATACTTTCACAATTTGCTTTTTCCACAACATTCTGTTTCCGGGATTTATCTGTATTGATTCAGCTCTATTTTTTTTTTCTTTTTCAGTTCTATGTGATATCCTTATATAAATTTGTCACAAATCATTCATTATCCTATTGATGAACATTAAATTTTTCCCAATCAAAAATAACATTGCATAAATATTTCTTGTCCATGTCACCTTGGGCACACATGCCAGCTTGTTTAGGGATATACTTAGACTTCTCCCTAGCACTGGAATTGCTGGGAGGTTGGACATGTGCCCCCTTAGCTTTATTTAATCATGTTAAATGCTTCTTCAAAGAGGTTCTTTCAAGTAACTCTCCAGCATAGAGTATGCGGGTTTCATGGTTCCTCACTTTCCCTACATTTGGTATTGTCAGATTTTTCATTTCTGCTAACCAGAAAAGTATAAAATATCTTCTTGCAGTTATAGTTTGCATTTCCCTGATTATTAGTAATTTTCTATTTATCTTTCGGTAAGTTTCTTGTTGTTCATTTGCCTGTTTATTAAAAATCAGTCTTTTTAAAAATTAATTTATAGGGGTCTAAATACCAGCCTTTTGTCAGTTACATGCATTGCAAATATTTTCTCCCAATCAGTAGTCTGCATCCTCGTTTTGTATATAGTGTCTTTTCATATCAAGAAGAGTTTTAAAGGTTTTTACTTTTAAACAAACATAGTATCTATTGCAAGGAAACATACTGAGAATGATTTCCCTTTGGAAATTTTATGTCTTTCTCACCCTTTCTAGAAGGAGGATCTCAGCTTAAAAAAATTGGTCATGCCTTTGGAAAGGAATATAATTTAATATGGCTGGTGAGTGGGAGCAGTGGACAACAATCTAGCAAAGTTTCATTTCATAGTGGCCACTAACTGCCAGGAATGGGCACAACAGCTTACCTCCCTGGTGGGAACCTGGGGTCAGGAATTGCCAGGAACTCAAGTTCGGGGCCAAAGATAGTCAGTCTGCTCTGTACTCAGCCTGTGACAACATGGGAGAACAAAGGGAAAGGACTCACATGAAAAGCGGACCTAGGAACAGGATTACTGTGGGAACTGTGGGAAATTCTGGAAAGAGTCTGGCATCCCAAGCAGAATTGTATGACTTCTATTAAATAGCATTTAAAACAATAATCAGGGAAAGTCTGAGGAAAAAGAAGACCAGATGGGATAGAGATGAAAGGGACAGAAAAGAGAGGATTTTAAGGAAATTAAAAGAAACGGGAGACTAAAAACAATGACAGCAACAACTTGGACTGGGAAAGGATTTCCTAAGCTTGGAACTAAATCCAGAAAGCAAAGGAATGGACTGAGAAATTTCATTTCATAGGAATTTCAGATTTCTGTACAGTTTACCAAGCAATATCACATTTAAAGATGAAATGACAGATTCAGAAAAATTGAGATAATGTTATAGACCAAAGGTTAATGGTTTTTGTACATAAAAAGATTTTTTAAATAAATAAGAAAATAATTAAAACCCCAATAGAATAATAGGCTAAGAGTAAGAACAGACAATTCAAAAGGCATTAAAAGTGTTTTTCCACTCTAGTTACCCAAAGATTGTGACTGAAATGAGATATTTTTTCTTCTGTAAGTTTTCTTATTTAAGATGAAAAGGCACCACAGTGCTCGATGTTGATGTGGGTGGAAAGAAATCAGCCCTTTTCCAGAGAGCCGTTGGAGGCTAATCTGTTAAAATTTTTCTGGAGAGTGAGTTAGTAGCTATTAATAGTAATAGGTACCAATTCACTAAAAAATGGGGGGGAAAAACACTCTTTTAATTGGATGGTATCACTGACCATCCAATGAACATGAGTTTGAACAAGTTCCAGGAGATAGTGAATGATAGGGAAACCTGGTGTGTTGTGGTCCGTGGGGTTGCACAAAAAGAGTCGGACACAACTGAGTGACTGAACAACAGCAACAATTGAAAATCCCACCTCTTTAAACCTACAATTCCATCTTTTAGAATTTATGTGAAAGAAATACTTGCACTACTAAACTAAAATATCTGCATGAGGTTTGACAAGAGTGTAAGAGGAGAATCAGTGAGACCCAGCAGTTGATGGTGAGGAAGGGGAGGGAGGAGGGACCTAGAGAATTACTCTTGGAATTTCCTACTAGAGCAGGTGAGTGCTCGGTAGGGCCATTCAATGAGACAAGATACACTGGGTTTTGGGGGAAGGCAATGGATTCAGTAAAGTATGTTTGGGGTTTCAGGAGTATGAGTTCAGGGGAGATGTCCAGAGTCAAAGCTGGATGTGTTTGGAGCTCAGCAGTAAGTTGAAGACTTCATAAGCACTAGTGTAGGGAGACAGTGGGAGTTGGAGGGTAGGTGATTCAGTGGCTTTCCAGTGAACATGGGACAGCGACTTAGGCTGGCAGGGAGGTGATTCTGATGCCTAGCTTTGTAGCTTTGACATCACTGAGTGAATCCTGCATGTTGCACTTCAGGCCTGGGAACACTCCGTGGGGATCATCTGCTTTCCCAGTCTTCAAAGACTGGCTGAAGATGTTTCCAACCAGTTTGCCCAAGAAATACAGAAGGCACTTGTGGGAAAGCCTGCAGGTAAGAGAAGAGCTGTCTGGAGAACTTCAAGGAGAGCAAAACAGCTCTGCGGGCCCCTCCCAGGCCTCTGGTTAAGCCCCTCTCTTCTTTCTAGGGGAGTTAAAGTACAGCCTTTGAAAATGCACAGCAGGCCAGGTTCTGACACTGAGGACCTTGGAGAACAAAGGAAAAGGCTAGAAGAGGGAAGAGAAGGGGGACTTGGGAAAATTTGCTGCTCTTGGAAGAACACACAGACACACACACTCACATCACTGACCCTACCCTATATATGTGTGTGTGATATATATACACACATACACACACAGATGCCACTCCTTTCCCCCTGCCTCCACCAACACAGACACACACACAAAACCAAAGCCAAGCAAATTTCCTGCTATAGGTCCTGGCTCACATCATTTTCTTCATGGAGTTGGACCCCCAGAGCCTGGGCTATGAGGCTGAAAGCAGAAGGAGATTCCAGGGGGAAGCAATAACTTGAGAATGGTGTAGATGGAGGAATCCCTGTGACAAAAGGGGCTGCGTGACATAGGAAGTGGAAGAGAAGACACTGGATTGTGGCAAGTCCAATTTCTGAGGAGCTTGTTCTTAGTGTTTAGCAATAGGGAGCCACTGATGGTTGTTGAACCGGGACGGTGGCATAATAAGAGCTATCCTCCAAGGAGATTAATGTTGACAGAGTGTGAAATGTTTGGTATAGATACAGGCATCACTGTTGGGCGTGCAAGAGGTGGAAGTTCCGAAAGGATGCTCAGGCATACCTTAGGGAGAGAGGGGCCCAAGGGGAGGGAAGCTGGGTGACCTGGCCACTGCCCCGCCTTGCTGGTGACACTTTCTCTCCTCCCCACACTGTTGCCAGAGCAAGCACGGGTAGCAGCTGGGAAGCTGCTGCGATGGAAGGGAGATGTGGACGTGGATCAGGATGGTTACCTACTCCTGAAGTCGGTGTACGTGCTCACGGGGACAGACTCCGTAAGTTCCAGGCCCCACTGGCCCCGCCTCCCTGCCTGGGCACTTCTCACCAATGTCCCAGCACAGGACAGTGGAATTTCTCAAGGGTGCTTTCTTTCCAAGAAACTGATTCATTGCTTTTCCTCCTCTACACCCCCTTGGATAAAGAACATGGACTTCAGAGTCCGGAATCCTGCCTGTTCACATCCTGCCTTTCCACCTTAATGTGCCACTTTGAACGAATTATTTGATTTCTTTGCATCTCTGTTGTGCTGTTAATGTTAAAATTAGAGATAATAATGCTTCCATTCTAGGGTTAGTGTGAGGATCAATGATGGGTGATGTGTGTAGACTATATTTCCTGTGTGTCAGGGTGGGGCTGGGGGCATGCCATGCATTGTACAATTAATCCTCCCAAGACCCTAGGAATCAGAGCACAGCGATGCGGCACCGGTGACAACAGTCAGGTCTGCCTGTGATGTGCAGCCTCTCTGACTCCATGCTTTGAGCCCCTGCTCTTTACCGGCTCCTGCTGAAGTCAGACTAAAGGAGCCAGGCCTGTAGGCACCTGCCCTGTGCCACACCAGAGATGAGAACGACTACTATTCCTTCTTACCACCCAGGCCCCATCCTGGCTGTATTCATCCCACCATGAATTGGGGACCTTGAGTGGTCTGCTGATGATTGGTGGCCTCAGGCAGAAGCAGCCCCCAGAAGCTGTGGCCATCAGCATAAATGACCCAAAGTCCTGTGCAGGGCAGGTCCAGAGGCTCCTCTGTCTAGCAAGAGTGCCTGTCTGTGAGTGTCCTGGTGCCCAGACTAGGAACAGCAGGGAACCAGGCTGGGGTGGTGGCTGCCCTCTGTCTAATGGTGAACACAGGCATCTGACGGGCATTTGGAGATAGTACCAGGAAGGGGGAGAGGAGCACGGCAAATAGTTGCTCACCAGCGGGAGGATCACCTACCTGACATTTCCTCTCTGTGAACTGCCTGGACCACCATCAGGGACAGTGACCTGGAGCACAGTGCCGGGGCTCTTCACTCCCTGAGGAAGGAATATTTTCAGTGTGAGCAGTAAAAATTAACCTAAAGCCTTGTTTTCTGCTGGGAGGAGTCTGCCTCCAAAGCAGCGAGAGAGGAGGCAGTTGGTTTTCTGGGGAGATGGTGCAGTTCGGAGGACAGGGAGAGACACCCTGAGTGCGGCCACGCAGGGACACGTGTCCAGTACAGGGGACAGACATTACCTGCAGTGAAAACTTTTAGGCACCAGCAGCCTGGTGCTGGCCCAGACTGTACAGTCTTCCTTTCTCTTTTCTAATGTACCCACTGCTGTCTGTCAGATTAGTCAGTTGGGTGGGATATTGTGTACTTTATATTAACCACACACGTGTTCTCTCATGAGCATGTATGTGTGCACACACACATGCCGAGGTTACAGTGCAGTAACAGCAGTGGAGCTGCAGGCAGAGCCCGTGGAGAAAGGCCCTGTGAAGCTTCACAATCAGGCTGATCCCTCTATTCTGACTCCTTGTCTCCTCTCTGTCCGGCAGCCCTGGGGCTGTTGAGGTGTGTGGCTCACCTATATAGGTCCTCACCTATAGGGCTGTTTGGGTCAAGATGAGGTCTTGGATCTGAGCAAGGGGATGGAAAGGGCCCTGATCACATCCTTGATTCAGATGCTTGAACTTGTTCTCTGCCACCGCTTCCTGACTGAGTTCCCAGTTCCCCCATCAGGAGGAAACCGGTCAAAATCAGCAGTGTGATTGCCAGGAATGCCCTTGATTTCTGCTCTGCAGCAGCCCTCCCCCTCCCCCATCCTTCCTATCATCTCTCTATCATGTAAAAGATACGCCTACCTAGCACACAATATACACTTTATGTAAACTTAATCGTCACAGCTGTCCCACTGGCCCTAAAACTGTCTCCATTCTTAATTGAGAATGTGTCGCTGAGAGAGGAAGTGGCTTCCCCAAGTTCGTGGCTGACAGAGCGGAGTTGGATGACCTCTCTGGTCTGGGTCTGGAGCCGTTCTCTGCAGCCCTGGGTCATGTCTGAACTTCCCTTGCAGGAGACGCTGGGCAGAGTTGCTGAATCTGGGCTCCCAGCCCTGCTCCTCCAGTGCCTTTACCTGTTCTTTGTTTTTCCTCTGGAAAAGGATGAGCTTTTGGAGAGTGATGTTCAAGTTCAGAGGATGTTTGTGCAGGTGAGTAGGGGGAGGGCTAGACTTCCTGGGCCAAGACCAAGCGTCTTCTTGGTCCTCCAACCTGCTTCTCCAACCTTCTCTGGTCTCTGTCTACCCCTAGCTCTGAGCCTCCTCTATTCTCCTGGAGGGCCCAGCTCACCCCTTCGCCCCTAGGCTCTGCAAATGCTGCGGAATCCCGTGCATTTGGAAGACAGAGTTTCTCTCCACCTCCCTGTACCTCTGTGCTGCCCTTGTTCTCTTCCAGAACAGTGTGCTTCTCCTCCTCCTCCGCTTGGCTGCACCAACTTCTTGTCCTCCAGTTTGTGTTCTAGGGCCCTGCCTGCCCTCCTGGGCGCCTGGAACCTCCTGTCTCTGGCCTCTGTACCTCTGAGAACAAACCCGCTAAGCCCCCTTGTGTAACTCTGTAAGTACTTGCTATGTACCAGCCTTGTGCCATAACCTTACACCCATCACCTCCCTGAGTCCTCTCTTTTATCACAGGATGTGCGTGGTATTGTCATCTTCATTCAGTGTAATCTAAAGTGCGGTGAGTAAACACGAGTCCAGAGTCCAAGTGTGGCTCAGTGGTAAAGAATCCACCTGCCAAGCAGGAGACGTGGGTTCAGCCCTGGGTCGGGAAGATCCCCTGGAGAAGGAAATGGAAGTTTACTTCAGTGTTCTTGCCTGGGAAATCCTATGGACAGAGGAGCCTGGCAGGCTATGGTCCGTGGGGTCACAAAACAGTGGGACATAACTTAGCAACTCAACAACAATAAGGGTCATAGAGGAGGTGAGTGGGGGCAGGGATTGGAACCCTGTGAATCTGGCTTCTGAGTCTGCATTTAACCACTCTGTGGGGTCACCTCCATCTCTCCTCTCAGACACCATTTCAGGCCACTATCACACGTGGTGTGCTCAAGTCATTACCCATCTTTCCTATCTTCTCTAACTGGCAGAGACTTTTCACGTAACTTCTCACCTCTCTCCCCTACCCCTTTACGGGCAAGTTCTGCTTTCTCAGCTTCTGGCATGCTGTGTTCTCCAGAAAACTTCTCTTGCCTCTCTAGTGGAGGTGGGGTGCTGTCGGTCTTACTTCTCTTTGTGCCTTGGCCAGGGTATCACATGGAGCAGGTACATGGGACCATTTGGGAACTGCCAGTGCCACTGTCCACCGAACATGCATGTTCACATCCGCGTCTACGTTAGGCCAATGCTCAAGCCAGAATCCTCATTACCAGGGGGTATCTCATGAGTTCTGCCAGATTCCACTTACTCAGGGGCGTCCCCTAAGCTTCACTTGTTAGACGTTTAGGCCTCATTTGTCCACATATAAATCATATTTTGAGTGGTGGTCAGGACACAGTATTGGGTACTGAAACAAGTCTTTACTGTGTGGTTTCCACGTGCTCTTCAGGGAATTAATGCAGCCCTGTCTTCAGCGGTCCTCTCTACATATGGACAGAAGGTGAGACACAGCGATACCACCTCAAGGTTCTTCAGAGTTTCCTTATTTCATTCCACAAAAATATACGGCGCTCCTCTTGGGTGCATGTCTGTACTAGACCCACACCCTCTCATAGAGATGACAGAGAGATGGAGAAGCCAACTGGAGAGACCAATCACAGGAATAAATGAGCAGGGTCCAATTTTTTAAATGCTCTGATGGAAAACTCAGAGATGTGCTGGGAAATGAGAGCCAGGGGACCTGACTTATGGTTGAGCATAAATGGAGACACTTCTGAGGAAATGGCATTGAACCAGGGAGCTGAAGGTTGGGATGGAGATGTGAAGCGGGAGGAGACAGGAGAGGAGAAGAAACAGCTGGCCAAGTGAAGGGTCACATGGCCACCATCACCTGCCATCTTCAGGGAAGACCAGAAGAGGGGATCTGTCCTGAGTTCCATGACTATCCAGCTGAGACTCCATCACTGCGCAAAACGGGGCTCAAGGATTTGGACAGAAAGAGCTTTCCATATTCGCCAAAGTGGAAGAGGGTCCCCGCAAGACCACCAAGAGCCAAAAGGAGAGTGCATAGGATAACGTGATGGAAGAGGCAGGGCTGGGCCATGCAGAGCTCTGGGAGCCGTATTAGAGTGCTTGGTTTCCATGCCAGTGCACAGCAAGTTTTCAGGAGGTAACCATAGGAACATGGGATGGATGGGGGCAAGAAGTCCAGCTAGGAGGTTACAGGATAACGCTCATAATCTTATAGAGAAGTAGAGGTTGAGTACCAGCCAGGGATTCAGGAACACGGCTCTCTTTTTAAATAGCACCGTTAATTCTGTATTTTAATAACAGGTGGCATTTTCTACATTTCTCTATAATAAGACACCTCTCTAAGTCAAACACTTTTGTGCTATTCTGGCATGGAAAGGATAACCATTGCTTGTACTGGGTTAGGAGTCCACATTTTCGCCCTGCCACCTTTTTATAGGTGGCTGTTGACCATAGCAGTTTCAGGCAGAGGGTGATCGTCCACAATTCTATCTCTCCTGCTGAGACAAGGAAAAGTAAGGAAGAAATTCATTACAGGAAAGAGGCTTCCTAATCAGAGGCTTTGTATTTTTCCCCCTCAGATGTTGCTCAACATTTGCGGTGAGGCTCAGGGTCTGGAGGGACTTCTCTCAGGAAATGAGCTCCAGTCTCTCATGATTGCCACGACGTGTCTTCGGGAGCACAGCTGCTTCTTTTGGAAGGAGCCCACCTTCTGTGTGCTGAAGACCATCTCCAAGGCCCAGAACGTCGGCGTCATCCAATACCTACAGGGTATGTTCCTGGGAGACCAGGGATGGTCTGTGGGCGCGCTTTCTAGAATAAGACCCTGGGATGCCCTGGCAGCATTAGCATAGATTCCAGGGATCAAAAAAGAGACAAACAAACAGAGTTTTCATTGATGCCCAATTACGCCTAGTAGGCGACCCTATATTCCTTGGGTCCATTCACGGCAGGGCTTTTACTGTTAATTTTGATGATCCATTGGAAGGGAGGGGGAAAGGGCAACCTATTTACTACATATACTGTCAAACACATACTATGCTGAGCTCATTTGTATATTATCTAATTTTTTTGAGCTAAATATTGATGAGTAATGCCATTTTGTAGTGAGGAAACAGATGATTAAGTGTGATAGAAGAATTTGCCAAGGCTCCCCAGCTAGTGAAGAACAGAATCACATATTAAACCCGAGATGCCCAATTCCAGTGCCTTAGGTTCTGCTCTGGACAGTGTGTATAAAAGTTAAGGACTTAGATTCTGAGGTTAGACAGCCAGGCTGTGGGCTCCTGCCCTGTCCTCCCAGCTGAGTGACCTTCAGTACTTTACGCCCGTGTGGTTCAGTTCCTTTCTCTGTAAAATGCAGATAACAATCCCGCTGATCTCACTGGATTGTTGTGATGCATTGATGAGTTGGCACATTTGAAGCCCTCAGATAGTACCTGGCAGTGGATGCCCCGTTGGTCAGCATCCCAGCATCATTACTTGGCTGTGATCAAAGGTTATACCCTGAGGAAATCAATTCTTTAGCTGTCCCAGGACTTCGCTTAGCATTGTCTGTCTCCCAAGGACTCAGGTAATGCTGGGAAGCATGGACACCACTGTGGCCTACAGAATCTTGGGAAAATGTATTGGCCTCCTTTCAGGTGCTGGCCCACCATGGGGCAGGGAGGGAGGCTCTGCAAGGATAACTTGGATGAGTAGGTTTTAAAAACAGTCTTCGGCTGACCTTCCCACCACCGTTGTTCAGCTTCACCAGCTCAAGTGCCTCTTAGGAACACAACCATCCTTCTCTTGGGTTAACGCCAAAGGATCTGAGCCTGCCAATGTGACCTGCTTCTCCACAAGCGCTTGTCTTATGACTTGTCTTCTTTCTGGGACCTCTCACCCCCTCTTATGTCAGGGGGTGAGAGCTGGGCACATACAAGTCCCCCCTCTTACTGTAACTGAGCGCTGGGATGAAACATCATCCCCAGTTTCATGACTGAAATTTCCCAATGAAGCTATGGTCCAGTGGTAACAGTGTAGGGCTGAGCCAGGCCTGAGGTGCTCAGCAACCCATACACCCCTCACAGACTAACCCTGCATAGGGGTTTCTCGGAGACCCCTGAGAAAAAGCTGCCTGCATTGCTGGCAGGGGTCTCTCACTGTAGTCATTATTCTCTGCTGGAAAAAAATTAAAAGCCATGTTATGGAGATCTAGTCACCTAGAGTCGTGTGCCCAGGGCCCCTGCAGGGGAATGAGTATTTTCCATGGGCCTATAGGCTGAGGAGAAGGCCAGGAAGTGAGGACTAGGCTGGTGTTTCCCTGCCAAGCCAGCAACTCTCAGTGCTTCCCTGCCTAGCATGCAGTCTTGAGATCGTGTCCTTGGCCTCGCAGGTGAGGGACTGAACATGCCTTATCTCAAATTGTGGGAGATACTTTTCCTGAACACTGGCGTGGCTTTCCTGGCACTCAGAAGAGGCTTCACCTAATGAAAGAGCCCTAAAAACAGTGATCCATCAAAATGCAAATCCAGTGGCATCTTTCTGCTGACTCAGTTCTTCCCCTGGCTTCTCACAGCTCTGGGGTAAACAGTGCATTCCATAGCAGGCCACATACCAGCTGGACCGTCTTCTGCCTTCTACCTTGTGGAACACTCTTCCGGGCTCCAACCCTCTGGATTCTTTAGCAGCTGAAACACACCATCTTTTTGCCCTTCGTCTTCCCACGTGTTCATATATCCTTCCCTGCACTTTTCATCAAGCTAATTTCTGCACAGCACTGCTTCCTTAAGGTCTCCTGTGACACTCAGGTCTTGTGTTTTACATCTTGTTATTTAATGGATCTGGATCCCTCTGCATGCTGGGAATTAGAGGCAGAGGGCTAAAAGACGTTCATCCTCTTCCTTTTTTACTTACTCTCCATCTGGGCCCCAGAGCGTGGCTCTCAGGATGACACTTCTCAGAGAGGAGGCTTCTTCTTGATCCAAGAATCAGCAGAAGTGTTTTGGATGAATTGTTATTCACATCTTGACATACAATTTAAAGTCAGGAGGGGAGGGAATGATAATGGCAGCAAAGATATTGTCTCTGAACTCAGCATGGGTATGTTTCCCCCTACAGCCATGGATTGCATCAAGATCTCCCTCCAAAACCTCTCCAGGCTTGTTGACACCCTCCCCGCTCCTGAGGTGAGCGAGGTAGTGAGCCTCGTCTTGGGCTTTGTGAAGGACTCCTATCCCATCTCCTCAGCTCTGTTCCTGGAGTTTGAGACTGGGGAGGGCTACCCTCTGCTGCTCAAAGTGTTACTTCGGTAAGTGACTGTGCTTGGTGGGAAAGAAATAGCGGAAGCTGAGGCCCTCAGAATCATATATGATGCTCTGGAGAAAGATATTGAGGCTTCTCAGAATGTCTTCTGAAATACAAATCTCCATAGATGGTGTTCAGAGAGACTTTTATTGCAAAAGTAATACAATGTGCCGCTGAGTTTGAAGCTACTTCTTTAGGAAACCAATGGGTGATCTCAATAATAGTTTTACCAAGTTCATTTGGTGGCATGTACTGCCAGCATGCCTGCTGCTCTGACAGGCACCTGTCAGGGTCTGCATCCTGTTTGAAAGGCTTTCTAGGATGGCTGTGATGAGCTCTGCCAGTATGATGGGGGGCTGGAAGTGCCCACAGATCAGCAAACACCAGGACTAGCCATCTACAAATGACCGGTAGAAGCTGATGGATATACACCCAGCAAAGTTGCCCCTTGAGTGGGATAGCTCTACTTTGCATTCCAGAGTCCCCAGGAGGACTAAGCTCCAACTGCTCTTGCTTGGTAATGTTCCTGTGCTGGCTTGCTTCCATTCCCTGTCTCAGATGGCCTTTGCCCTACTGTTATTCTCAAATTATTCATCCATGGGAAACACACAAAGATGAGACTCAGTAAAATCTGGACTAATTTCCTCCACTCTGAATTGCTATGTCCTCTTCAAGTTGGGTCCAGGGATTGGATAAACCAGGGGATGGAAGTGAAAGAAACTTGATGATGGCCCAAAGTCTTCCACTGGTTATGGGGAAGCTCTATAAGGGCAAAGCCACAAAAATTCCCTTGGCTTAGCTCTGAATATGAGCAGCGTTGCTCATCTGTAGGGTGCAGATTACCATCGTGCTTTACAGATTTTGCTACAGTCAGGCTTTTAGTCTAGAGGAATGACTCAGATAAGGGGACTGAAATCCCAAAGGAATGGAATTAGATGACAACATCCAGAGGACCTTCCTCCAAAGGCACACACAGAATGAACGTCTCTATGTGCTTAGTCTGTCAGATTCAGACTTAGTCTTAAACAGACTCAGTCGTGTCTGACTCGTTGTGACCCCATGGACTATATAGCTCACTGTAGCTGTCCATGGAATTTCCCAGGCAAGAATACTGGAGTGGGTTGCCATTCCTTTCTCCAGGAGATCTTACCAATCCAGGGACGGAACCCAGGTCTCCTGCATTGTAGGCGGATTCTTTGCTGTCAGCCACCAGGGAAGCCCAAGGAACGTCTCTACAAGAATGTCATATTTTACACGAGTCTGGACCATCACTGACTGGTGACTGCTACCATGGATGTCTCTGTCATAGCAGTTCCTGAACAGCTCTTTGGTTAAATGGCTGGTTGGTTTTCCCCAGACTTCTTGTGGAAGGCAAGAGGGAAAATAAACTGTTCAGGGAATGTCAGAAAAGACCCAAATTGGCTCATTTGTTTTCCTTTCTGCCTTAATGGAAGTCACACTGCGAACACTTTTACCCTTGACATGACAATGAGACTTAAGAGGCCATTCTCCATGAGAAGAGCAAGGCAGCCCACTACACATAAGTAGCTGAAAATGAAAGAAATACCCACCCTTGAAATAAGCATGAAGAAATCTAATAAAGTCCAATTATTTCCCATGGGGTTTGTATTGTTGCTCTCCTGAAATATCAAATCTCTCATTTTGGGAGTGCTCCTGCCCTGCTGGTGCCTGAAGCCCATACATTTTGGGAGTCCTACCATGGAAAGTAGCTCTCCTGTGAGCAGATGCTGTGGCTCTTCACAGGTTTCTCTGTATTGTATCTCTGCAAGTCCTTAGATCTAGGGCTGATGCTTGCAAACAGAGTGACTTTTATCCACCCCACCCCCGCCCCGCCCACTGCCATGCCTTCTGGTGCTAAACTGGTGGAGATCTTTGGGGTCATGCCAAGCACTGTGATCTTCATTGCCTCTGCCTCCCTGTGAAGAGCACCTTGAGCAAACCTGGCTGTTCTGTCCAAGACATTCAGGAAGCTGATCTCATCTATCCCCACAGGTACGACGGACTGACCCAGAGTGAGGTTGACCCTCACCTGGAGGAGCTTCTCGGGCTGGTGGTATGGCTGACAACCTGTGGGAGGTCAGAGCTGAAGGTGTTCGACAGCATCACTTACCCGCAGCTGGAAGGCTTCAAGTTCCATCACGAGGCTTCTGGTGGGTCTCTGGGCGTCTCTGGGTGCCTTGTGCCCTGACAAGGCTATGCAGATCATTTCCTGATTCTCTACGCAGAAACAAACATGTGGCACCTGTTAGTGACTCAGCAGGGTCTGATTCTGTCATGCCTTTGGGGGATTGCCTATGTATTTAGAATCTCTCCTTTATACATTTTCCCAAATGCCCTGGTTGAGACTTAGAGGAAATGTTTGCTCAAATAATGGAGACAGTCTGTGATTTCCATTCTCACCTCTGATGTGACTTACTTGGTGACATCTGCTTGTCTAACAGGGGCTGATGGCCCTGGAATAGCAACCCAGGCTCAGAGTCAGTGCCTCCTTAGTTCTATGATATTTTGATTGGTTGATTGACTGATGAATTCAATCAACATGTACTGATGCTTCTGTCCAGCAGCCACTCTGCACCATGCTGGAAACCATGGTGAACAGGCCACGTGTCTCTGCCTTAAAGATGCTCTACAGAGACTGTCACATAAACCCCGAGCTATAATCTATTCAATAACTGGCTGATAAAATAAGAACAGAGGTGACACTAGGGGTGAGGTTTAGCTCTGCCTGGATCAGTCAGGAAACTGTACAGAGAGTCTCATTCAAGAGAGGTTTCAAGGCAAAGGATGGGTGGGCCAGGACGGAAGGAGGGGGACAAAGTGGAGGGTGAAAAGCTGTGGGGCCAGTGTAGGAAAAGCCACTGGATGTGACTCCAGCAGAAACACAGGGCAGTGTGTGGATTAGAGAGGAGTTTCAGAAACATTTCGAGTGTCTGAGGCAGAGAGAGCTGGAAGTGGAGAGTTCTGTGAGGAAGTGTCTCAAGGGCAAGATAGAGTGAGACTTGACCTTGTATCTGGAGAGAAAAGGGGGGATGGTCTTTTTATTTAACAGCTTGTCTAGAAATGAAACTGACTTTGCTTAGTAATCTTTAACATCATTTGATTTTAACTAATTAAAACCAGTCCTCCAGCCCTGTGCTGCCCAATGGAAATATAATGTGAGCCACATTACATAGTTTTAAATGTTCTAATTATAAAATTGTAAAAATTAAGAAGAAACAAGCTAAATTATTTTTCATATTATATTTTATTTAACTCTATACAGCCAAAATATTACCATCAAAAATGTGATCATACAAATAACTGTTAATGATTTTTTTTCATCGTGTTCTTTTCTTTGTGCTATGTCTTAGAAATCTGGCATGTATTTTTAACTTAGGCACGCCTGGGTTCGCAGTAGCCACATTTCAATGCTTAATCAGCCAGCACATCTTGGACAATGCAGTTCTAACCTTACTCATACCCTATGCAGATGGCTTCTCTGGACTTCTGAAAGATATTTACTACAGGAATTAGAAAGTAGAAACTTTAAATGGCACATCCTCGTGATAATTCAACCACATATTTCTAGGCATAGTCAGGAGAAATGGCTTGCAGGATGATACCTTTTTGCATCTTCAGGGGTGACTGTGAAGAATCTTCAGGCCTTTCAAGTCCTGCAGAATGTTTTCCACAAAGTCAGCGACCCCATCCTCTGCACCAAAGTCCTGTCATCCATTAGGACCATGTGGACCTGGAACGCCCGCAACTTCTTCCTGCTGGAGTGGACCCTGCAGCCCATCTCGCAGTTTGTGGAGATTGTGCCCCTGAAGCCGACCCTGGTGCAGAGGCACTTCTTCCAAATGCTGGAGGCCCTGGTGTTTGAGCTGCGTTACGTGCCCCATGAGATCCTGCGGAAGGTGCAGCGCCTGATCCAGGAGAGCCCGGAGTCGCTCTGTACCCTCGTGGCCCTGCAGAGCATCCTCAGGATTGCTGGTGGTGACCCGCTCTTCACTGACATCTTCCGGGACTCGGGGCTTCTGGGTCTGCTGCTGGCCCAGCTGCGGAAGCAGGCCAAGATCCTCAGGAAGTCAGGTGCCTCCCTGAAGTGTCAGGAGGGGAAGTGGGGAATGGGCCGGGGTCAGTGTTAGCTGGACCTGGTCTGTGTGCCAGCCTCACCACCCATCAACATAACAGAGAGACGTGAGTGTGCACGCCTGGTGCCATGAAGGTTAGAGAGAGTACCCTTGGGATATGTGGCTTCACAGAGCAGGCAGCCTCCCTGCTTTCTATAACTTGCTCGCTCTTCCCCATGATAAGTTGAGAGGGCTAGGTGTAACTTTAAGCCAACCCATGGGCTGACTCAGGCCTGATGAGTTCTAAGCTATCAGATACCTCTGGCACCAGTTATTGTCTGCCTGCGTAGATGGGTAGATGGGGCGACAACACGACAGGGCCTCAGGAATGCCAAAGGGAAAGGGCTTTCAGAGAGGCCTGAAGCTCTGGGTGGGGGAAAGGTGTGGGATCAGCTCTGGGGTCTACTGGAATATGGCCACCTTGCTCACATGGTGCTGTAGGGCCCAGTGATCTCCCACTCGAAACAGAGGTCAACAACCAGGGCCTTGCTGGCCCAGCTTGCCCCTCTAACCTTGGCAACGCTTTTATGTGCCCTGCTGAGTTGTATACCCATGGCTTCTTGGCAACATCCCTTCACCTCTGCCTCAAGAGTGCTGGCCTGGGTTCTTTTCCTGCCTAACCATGCCCCATGTACATACCTTGGATTTTTCTATAAGCCTTCCGGGGGACTCTGATGTAATTCAAGTTGGAGAGCTTCTGATGTAGGGATTGTAGGGTCACATCTTACAAGTTGGGATGCACACTCCTTTATAATGGAAGCATGATATTCGTCTTTCTTTAAGAAGATAGACATTGGACATGTCAATGGACATGAGTTTGAGCAAACTCCAAGAGACAGTAAAGAACAGGGAAACCTGGTGTGCTGCAGTCCATGGGATCGCAGAGTTGGACATGACCTAGTGACTGAACAACGACAACAAAGAGGATAGAAAAGTAATGGAATTGGAGATTTGGGGCCATATCACATGTCCTTAAATTTTTTTTTCATTGTTTCTTAAATATGGCAGGAAACAAAGAGTTCAATCCTGGAGTTCAAGATACAGAAAGAGAACTGACTTGTGTGATGCTGAAAACTGTGGTCACGCTTCTAAAAGGGTCAGTTAGGAATGCAGGTGAGAATGGTACCAAATTCACATTGTGACTGCTTGGGGAAACACTGACTATTTCCTGATGATTTATGTCACTGTTCAAAGGCTATATCCAAAGAATAGCCAACACTATGGCTGTGGCTAATGTCCATTTACTGCTTTATGTCTGGTGATCATCAGTAAATTGGTAGACACATCAGTTGACACTTTTTACTGTTTAGGTTGCTAAATAAGGTTGTGAGTCAAAGAGTTATCTTAAATTTATGAGACCACAGAAACCCCATTTCTCTCCAGTAAAATCTTTTAATATCCTGCTGCACTGATTATAGTTGCTTTTATAAAAAGATTCAAATTGTAAAATATTGTCATCATTTTTAGAGATATAATTTGATGTGCTTCTAGCCCATGATGGATTTAGTAGCTTCATTCATTAAAAAAAAAAATTTAGCTTCCTTAGATCATGAGACTCCCATGTTTAAAAATACATGCATGCATGTTATACTATGAAGCAGATGCATCAACAAAGTGACATGACTGGGTTTAGTGATCTGGTGCATCTTTACCTGGGGCCCTCACAGTCAACTATACCAACTGTGAATGACTATTTCATTATGGGAGAGGATCTCTAATGTGAGACTATAAAAGATTTCCTGGAGGTTCTGGTTAAAAGGGAGATACATATTCCTAGGCTCCCTCCCAGAGATCTAATTATCAGGTCAAGGTAGAGCCCAGAAATCTACTTTTAAACAGGTCCCCTAGGTGATTCCATGTAAGGAATACTTGGCCCATAATTGGGAAATCCTGCTTCATGGAGTTGACCAGCTCAAATCTACATCATGCCATTTGAATGATCCAGTTACTTCCTGGTTCTTATTCTACATGTAATTACTCCAAAGATCAATCCTGAGGAAGAAATTCTTAAGATTACTTTTAAACAAAAAACATACCATTAGCCTTTGATTCTGCTCCCCCACCATCTCAAGAAACTGCTTATGAATTAAATTCATTCTTAAATTCTGGCTTGCTTTCAACAAGACTTTAGGCAGAGATAAGAATTGATAAGATAAGAATTGCCCTCAGATGGTAAAGCATCTGCCTACAATGCGGGAGACCTGGGTTCGATCCCTGGGTTGGGAAGATCCCCTGCAGAAGGAAATGGCAAGCCACTCCAGTATTCTTGCCTGGAAAATCCCATGGACTGAGGATCCTGGTAGGCTACAGTCCATGGGGTCGCAAAGAGTCAGACACAACTGAGCGTCTCCACTCACTTCACTAGATTAGGGAATTATGTGGAAATAAGTGTCAGAGGTATGTCCAATTAAAGTTTATATTACTTCGAAAAGGGGGGGGCATGGTTTCAAAAGCAGAATTCTCACTAGAGAAGTAAGCGGTTTTCTTTTTAATTCTCAGCTACATAGTTTCTCTATTCCTCTTCTTATTTTAACAGTAAGTATTGATTTTGAAAAAAAAAGTTTCTAATGGGTGGAAAAAACACATACATATGTAGCCAAACAAACTTGGAAATTGTAAAAAAAAAAGCTGTCCTTATAATTGAAACTAAGGTGCCAAGGCACCCATCACTCTAGCAATACTGTCTGTCTGGTCCCCAGTTGTCCTGAAAGACCACGGCATGGTCCCCTTCATCAAGATCTTCCTGGATGATGAGTGCTACCGGGGAGCCTCACTCAGCATCTTGGAGCAGCTCTCAGTCATCAACGCCGAGGAGTACATGAGCATCACTGTGGGTGCTTTGTGCTCGTCCACTCAAGGGGAAATACAGCTGAAACTGGATCTCCTGAAGGTGATGTCACGTCCTCCTTTGTGATGGGCTTTCCTGTGGACATGCAGCAAGTGATCGGCATTTGCCCATGCATTCATTCCTTCACTTGGTCACTTATCATACAGGTAGAGTAGTACTAGCAGCTGTCACAAATAAATCCCACTGACTCAATAGCCTGGCACGTTAGAGGTTTCTTACGTGTGGTCCAATCAGGAACTGGGAGGCATGTCATTCAGGGACTACTGTCACCTAGGCATCTAATCCAGCCAGCAGACAAAGGAAGGGAGAGCAAAGAAAATGGCACACATTTTTTTTCTGGCCTAGAACTGGCGCGTGTGCAATTTTCCTTGGACAGGATTCATCCGGATGCATGAGGTGCCAGGAAATGTAGCCCTTGGTTGGGCAGCTACTTCCCAGCCACACTGTAAACTATGGACGTGGAGCCCGAATCGGTGGTGGCCAAGCTGCTGCCTTGTTTAATTTCCCAGCCTTTAGTGAGCATCTACCTGTTACCAGGCCTGATGCTGAGTGCCCAGGACACACAGTTGAATGAAACTCAGCCTTTGCTAACTGGTAGCTCTAGACTAGGACTAATATTAAGTGAGCAATCATGGTGATGCAGCATGGCTATGCCCTGGTAGATGCTGAAAGCAGGCTGCCATGGGAACAGAGAAGTAGAAACCAGCATTGCCTTGCATGTTTGAGGAAGGGTCACAGAGGAGCGAACGTCTGAACCGGGAAGAGGAAGCCAAAGGCAGTCAAAGGCACAGGAACAGTGCTTACACAAGGAGAGGTCAAACCAGGGTGTCCCCTTTGGACAACAAAGAAAAGCATATATTTTTGTTTTTATAATATTGTTAACCATCATCAAATTGTCTTAAAATAGTTAAAGATGATAATAAGTATCATCAGCCTTACAGCTCTCACAATTTTCTTTCTGTTCCTGCTTTTCCATTTCTTTTGTCTGTGGGGGCTTATACCTTTAACTAAAATACCCTATCTTTTGTTTATGGCTGTTTAAGAGAAAAGCAAACTGAAATGCAAATATCCCCCAGGGAACTGATTTGGGGACCTGTCACGTCTATGTGCAAAAGAACCCTGTATGCAATACACACTCCTGTTTCATTACCATGTTATACTGGACCACTGGTGAATTTTGTATAACACAAAGTTGCTCTCACTTCCAAAATTAAACCCTCAACCATATTTAGCCATGACTATCTCAGTACAAAGCCATTTTAACAGAGAACGACATTTAGCTTATTTTACCTACTTAATTTCTCAGCAAAGCCAGTGTCAGGCACTGATATAGCTGTGTTCATGTAATCTGATGACCTAAGCCTGTAGAGCTCACCTTAGCCAATGTGTCAGGAAAAGCCCACCCAAAAGTGACATTTTGACTATAGTTATTGTGCATTTCATAGATGACAAGGACCAAAACAGTGATTTAATCACAGAGTCAAAAAGTCAGTGAAGGTAATGGAACAAAAAAGGAAAGTTAAAGGTCTTTTGAAAGATACTGGAGTTCCATGGTTATGTGAAGTAACAGGTCTGAAGGGAGCATGTAGAGGGGAGATTAAGGGAGAGAGATAGCAAGAATTAATGAGAGTTAATAGTTGGAAAGCACCTTGGCTTCATGTGGTCCAGTCCTGATGTGGCAGTAGAGACAGACCTGGAGAGATTCTAATACTCAAAGATGAAGTTGAATTTGAGCCTAAGACTAGTGACTAAAAATTTGGTGATATTTTCTCTTCACCATGCTCTTTGTTGAATTTTTTTCTCATATGTCTCCGTTCACCTTAATTTGAATGAGGGACAGGGAAGGCAGGGAGCAAGGCAGTCAGGACTTTGATTTTCTATTGGATGAATAATTGGAATACCTAACTGTACCTGGCATTTTCACATTTATAGTCAAACAGATCCATGGAGAGGAAAGTTTTGGAGAATACAGTGTTTCTGTGTCTGTTACAGAAAAACTCTCTGCTTTGCTCCAAAGTTCATCTTGTTTATCCGATAGCCCAGAGGCACCTTACTGGAGTGTCAGACCTTCGGTAATTAAGACTGAATTTCCAGAATTAGCAATGTGAAGCCATGGTGTTTTACAGATTTAATATCATTTCAGTATCACACTATCAAGAGAGTACATTAGAGATGAATACTGTGAGTTTTTTTTAACACAGTCATACCCTGGGCTTCCCTCATAGCTCAGTTGGTAAAGAATCTTCCTGCAATGCAGGAGACCCCGGTTTGATTCTTGGGTCGGGAAGATCCTCTGGAGAAGGGATAGGCTACCCCCACTTCAGTATTCTGGCCTGGAGAATTCCCTGGACTGCATAGTCCGTGGGGTTGCAAAGAGTCAGACACGACGGAATGACTTTCACTTTCACTTTCACCCTGCGCTCAATGTGCTGTCTTCTTCCTGGGTACCAAGTTACCTCCCCACTGGGTAGTGGGGAGGGTGCCTGGAGCCTCCATGGCTCTTCTGGGGCCAGGCTGATAACACACAGAAGCTCTGGTGGGTTGTGGGGAAGGATTGGGCCCCAGAGCCTGTTCCAGCCTTGCCCACCATCGAGTCCTGTGAGCAACTAGCCAACATTTGCTGGAATCTGATGTGAGATAGGCCTTTGTTCTAAATCACTTTGGGACCCCCTTGGGAAACAAAGATGTAAAATTAGTTCTGGCTAGATTTCCCTTTTTGGTAGTTGAGAGTGTGCCTGCACTGTGCCTGCAAAGTGGGTCAGATGTAGAATGAAGGGGAAGTGATGGAATGTGGGGACCTCAAAGGCAGGACCTTCCACCCCACCACCTGATAAAGGTTTGCCATCTCTGAAGTATACTCACATCATGGTGCCACCCTCGCTTCCTTTCTCTGAGAATTAGCCAGCTGCTCTGGAGGAGAAAATTCCTCCAGAAACACGTGACTTAAGGCAGTTGCTTCCAAAAATCCAGTGGTGCTTCCATACCAATACAGAAGCACATGTGACTTCACCACCTAATTCTGGCAAATGATAACTGAGTTAAAGAATAATGTAAGCAAATGAATATCCTCTCCACGGCCAGTGGGACTATGATTGGGTTATGCACAAATTCAGATTGATTTGCTAATATACATTTAGCTGTTCAACTCTGAGCTTAATTGCATTACCTCACCCGTCTTCCAGCATGACACATGGAAAATTATGAGGAATAACAAATAATAGAATGTGAAATAAATCCTGTTAGTCCTAACATAGTTAGCGCTTTGCAGCAGACATCCATTTTATAGATTCAAGCTGGAGGAATACTAACTCAGAGACGATGACATGGTAACTGAGTTAAGGAGGAGAAAATGTGCTTAACGCTGACCTTTCTTGAAATGTGTCAACCCTAGCCTGATTACTTTGACTTCAGCTGATTAAATTTACTCCCTTCCGCAGACTTGCAAGCCTAGGTGATGCATTATCATGCAAAGTTGAATGACAGTAATGGAGACCCTCCTCCTAGGCCCCCAGTTCCTGACAAATCGTTTCCCGAAGTAGCGCAGTATTTATTTTCCTTTATGATAGAAATGTTTCTCTTTAGTTGCTATGAAATTAAGTCTTTGTAATTAGATTTTGGACTCTTTACTTTATGACTCTGCAAATATGAAATTAACCCCATCCCAAGAAATAATAGAGAAGACTGAGTTCTAATGACATTACCCCCATTTTAGATAATGACTCTGAATTTAATAAATCAAACAAAGCAACAATTAAGGATAGCCATTCCTTTTTTTCTTCCCTCTTCCCTATAGGAGGAGAGAAGTGCCATCTAGGAATTAAGGGGATAGACCCTCTGAGAGACACAGATCATAAGGATAGCTATTATTGTGTTGATCTCTTTTTAAAATATCTGCTCTCAGCACTCAGAATGACGGAGATCTGTTGAGCAATATTTGGTATAAAACTGGATAATTGGAAGGTGGTTTCTTAAGGGAATAGGGAAGTTTTAGTGGTCATCTAGCACTCAGACAATTGCTTATAATCTGATTAGTTTTATTTGTTAATCATTCTCTCTTTTGGGTGTTTATTTTGTCACGTGTCATGTGATAAGCAGAAGACTTCCATTCATTCCATTTGCCCTGAATAACGTAATAGTGGTTTTCAGAGCTATTGAAAGCACTCACATAAATTCAGACAGTTTAACACCCTAGAGCCTCAGATTTGTTGATGTATTGGTACTTTATTTATTTTTTATGGCACTAGTCACATTGAGACAGGTTGAGATAGTGCTGAACCACACGCTAATGGTCAGTCAGCCTTTCGTGTGTATTATCAGATGGCAGGAAGAGACTACCACCACTCAGCATACTTGAAGGTTAGAGCGCATTTCCACCTTGGTAAAGTACTGTTAATTCTGTCCAGAGTGAGTTGCTCATACAAGGCAGGCACAGACAACTGGCCCCAGAATCCCAGGGTTGGAGGTGGGATTTTGGGAAGGCAGCTGTGGTGATGCTGTGTATTCAGAGAAAGTCCCTGCCTAGTCTAGGGAACTCTGTGCTGCTAAACCATAAGCTTTTACATTCACCAACATTACTATCCTGGAGAATCTGTTCTAATAGTCTACATATAATCTTCTCTGTAAGGACCTGTCTATAAATGCAATCCTTCCTGAGTTTTGAGCCAAATACAGAAATAGTTGGACTTCCCTGCTGGCTCAGTGGTAAAGAATCTGCCTGCCAATGCAGTAGACACGGGTTTGATCCCTGAGTCAGGAAGCTCCCCTGGAAAAGGATACGGCAACCCACTCCAGTATTCCTGCTTGAGAAACCCCACGGATGGAAGAGCATGGCAGGCTACAGCCCATGGGGTTGCAAAAGAGTCGGACATGGCTTAGTGACTAAACAAAAACAGAAGTAGTTAAGTCATATCCTCACCTAGGAGGAGAAAGCAGCTATCACTAGAAACACTAGTCTTTAGTGTTTCAATTTGCCTCTATCTGTCAGACAGTCTGGAAAGCCCATTTCCCTGAAGCATATCCCATGACTCTGATTTGATCCCCTGTTAGTGGGTGACCCTGATGTTGGGTTTTCTTTTAAAGAACGAAATAATTCAATTTCCCCACAGCCATTCCCCTGAGCTGTGGTGGGCAATGATTGATCTAACCACCATAAGTATGCATTTCCTTTTCCTATAACTGGGAAAAGATCAATTGACCCATATTGGTAAGGATGAATCTTTCTACTTCACTCTATATGATAATTTTTCCATTTTGAGCATAATCGTGACCTTTGGCCTTGTATAGATCCTCCTAGTTTCTACAGTCTTTGTTTTGTTTACTTGAAATGTCATTGATGGGGCAGTGGGAACACTTTAAGCAGCTTCTCGGTCATCATTCCTCTCCATCTTTGAAAGAGTCCTTGCTTGTGTGCATTAGCTTAGTTCTGGCTCATTTCACGCTTTCCTACCGCATGCCTGGGTTTACTGTCCGCCAAGCAGTTCAAGCTTCTTGTAGCAGAATATAATCTTAGATAACAAAATTTGGGTTCCAGTGGTACACATTATATTGTTTCAGACAAACACTAGTGTTAGGTTGGAGTTATCAGCATTTTAGAGATAGAACTAGAAAATTACTTTCCCCCACAAAGTACATGACTTCATATTTCATATTTACCTATAACTTTACTGAGTTTCTATTTGACTTTCTCTATATGAGAATTTAGAAATCTAGTCCCTTCGCTCCCTTTTCTGACCCATCAATTTTCTCTTTGTCGTTGGATTTTCATGTATTATGCCACAGACTATCACCCTAAGCCGTGTATTTAAGACACAGCTTCACCCCTCTCTCCCAAATTAGGAACTTTTTTTTCTTTATTTTTTCTCTTTACTTTTTTTTCTTTGAACCTTGTTTCAAGCATCCTGAAATTGACTTTAAGTTGTGCCTGCCAAGAAAATTCTCTTTCCTGTCACTAGAACATTAAACATTGTAAAGGATGAAACAACTCAAATGCTCCTCCAGTACCTACTAGCAAAACTACAGGGACTAGTCATTTTCTGGGAAACATGCTTAAGAAACCTGGGTGTTTGATGGAGTCCCATTCAATTTTAATGAATAATAAACAGCTAAATACCAAAATCTAGAGGCTTTTGATATTATCTAAAATCATCCATCCATTCTTCACTCTTAGGTGTGAGACTTTAGCCCAGAATGAGAACTTCTTAAGAGCAGTCCTTCTTTCCTTCTAAAACATTTACTGAGCACCTAGTGTATATCATGGATACTAAGATCAAAGAATAGTACATCAGAAGTGCTTAGTAAATGTTTGATTTCAGAGGGAATTAAAAGTTTGGCTGTCCAGAAAAACCTCAGCAGTCTTGCAAAGGTAGATTCTACTATGTGCATTCTAACAGCCTAAACTCCACACATGGTCTGTATTATATGCTATACCCATATGTTTCCCTCCATTAAGGATTTCTCTTTTCCACCTTAATTCCCTTGTATATTAACACCAGGTTTTAAGTAGATTTGTTTGACTATCTCCTATTTAGTAGAAGTACCTGCACTTGCACATAGACGAAGGTAAATAGTAATAAACTGCTTTATATAGATTTCACTGTGTTTCCTTTTGCAATATAGGAAGTGGTTCATTCCATGAGTTTAGCAAGTATTTATTAAGTAGGTGCCACAATCCACAGCAGTCAGTAAGCCTGATTTCATGTCACTTCAATCTAGAGGAAGGCTGAGGGGCAACCTGAAACTAAAATAAAGAGGAACAGTACTGACCTTCCAATATTTCAGAATTGCCCCTGGGTAACTCGCTATTCCTCTGGCATGGATCCTGGAGGAGCATCAGGAATGCTCTGGCAATGCTGGGCTGGAGCTCAGCATTAAAGATCTGCTGCCTGGACCTCACACACTTTTATCTCATTGGTTTCAGTCTCTGCTCCGGATCCTGGAGACCCCCAAAGGCCGCGCTGCTTTCAGAGTCTCCAGTGGGTTCAACGGGCTGCTGTCCCTCCTCTCTGACCTGGAGGGGTCTCTCCAGGAGCCCCCACTGCAGACGTCGGGGGCAGTGTCCCCCAGCCAGACCCTGGACCTTGTCCTGCACACACTCTGTGCTTTGTCTGCTGCACTGTACCTGGACCCTGTCAACGGTGACTTCTTTAGGAGGACTGGGCTCTTTGAGAAGCTGGCCGAGGACCTCTGCTTGCTGGGCTGTTTTGGGGCCCTGGAGGAAGAGGACGCCCCTCCGCCCTCCTGTGAGGACACAAAGGCCAGGCCATTTGCTGACCTGCTGAGTGCAGCCTTCTCCCCTGCCAGCCTGCTCCCACCCAAGATCCAGAGCTGCCTGCAGATCCTCAGCTTTCTGGACAGCATGGCCCGAGGCACCCTCCACCTGCGAAGGGACCTGAAGGATGCCCCGAGGACCAGGCAGGAGCTAGTGGTGGACCCTCAGAGGGGAGAACCTGGCTGTGACTCCCAGGGAAACTTCAAGCAGTGGCCAGACGCGGAAGAGAGGTAGAGCTTTGCCGCCTGCTTCCCTAATCTGTCCTCGGTGTGTCTGTCTCCTGCGTCCCATGCACAAATTCTGCACATGCGTAGTACAAAGTGGGTGTGCGGAAAGTTACACTGCTACTAACCCTCCTGAGTCCATTCCCAGCAAGGGCCCTCCTACCTGATGTTTAAGTCAATAGGAGACCAAAGCGGATTCAGAAGCAAAGGAAACCTTTCTTCTTTTAACAGAGAATGGAGAGCTGCAAGCTCTCTTGCTCTCTGGATAAGCCTGGGGCGGGGCTGCCTTTAGGGATCCTGTGTAGAGGGGAGGAGACGGCAGTGCTGGGCGCACCGTCACTGAACATGGCCCACTGCCACCATCTTGAATCAAGTATGGTGCACCTCGCTTCTGCACCGGATCTGCGGGTTGCCGTGTCCTGCACCAGGAACTCCGGTCTGAAGTGCCTGCCCGGTGCAGGGCCTCTGCATGCAGTAACCAATGAACATGTGAAACTAGACTAAGCACAAAGGAAGAGGTTAGACCTTATCTTATCACCCAGATTCCATCTTATGTTTCCTGGGGATCCCAGCGGGCTTTGCTGGTGACAGCACGATTTTCTTTCCTTTAAATCAAGTTCACTTTGTCTTGGTTAACTTTGTCTTTTCTTTTCTTTAAATCAAGTTAACTTCACCCCCCTACTCTGAGAGCTGGCAGAAAACCAGTCTGACTCAGTTCAGGGTCGGGGGATGCTGATGAGTCCCACGAGAACCAGGGACGCTTACCTGATCTTGGAAACTGAGGGCAGAGCTCTGCTGCGCACAGGCTCACTTTCTCCTTTGGCATCTCTGCTGTGCCTAGGAGCCTAGGTGCCTGGGCCCAGCCTCTTTGGTATGCTGAGTAGCCTTTGCCTTCCTAGATCGCATCTCCAGCCTGCCAGCGCACTGCCAGGGCATGGGGTGAGGTCCTTGACTTGTGAAACACAAACCATAGCATCCTTCCCAATCATGGGACTCTTTTTGTTCTTTCTTGCTGCTTCCATTTCCCCTAACAAGGACATCTCTTCTGCAGGCCAATCTTCTCAAGGACCTGACTTTGATAAACAATTTTTTGCTTTCCTTCCTATCACACAGAATTCCACTAAAGTGAGGGATCACAAAGAACCGCCCACCCCCCTTGGATCAGGAGGGGGAAAATGAAAGAACAAAGCAACAGAATAGTTGGTATCTTTTTTTCATTCCTCTGAAGCATCAATGATAAGACAAAAATTAATATTGCAGTAAACTATCCTGCCTGCCACCTCTCCAGGTCACGTTGCATTTACCACCACAGGATTATCTTCTGAAAGACATTGCACATGTTTATCCAAAGTGAGCACTGTATGTGTCAGCCAGACAGCAGTACTGGGAGCTGGTGGTGAGGGGATTGGATGTCAATTCTCCAACCACTGTGATAATCGTGATTGTTCTTGTTTCATCGGTTAATCTGGTAAATCAATTTGTTTTCTGACCTTGCATTCCTTCAGAATTTGCTCATGGTGTTAATTATTGCTGGATTTGATTTGCTGACTTTTAAAAAACATTTTTTGTTTGTGAGAAAGTTCAGCCTTTCACACTTTCTTCACTATTTTTACTGTCAAATTTATGCTAGTCTAATCAGTTGGGCGGTGTTCCCTCTTAGCTATGTAATAGAACTTGCCAGTAAAACCTCAGAACCCTGATGTTTTCTTGTGAGAAAGTTTATTCTTTTTTCTTTTTTAAAGAGCAGCTTCTTTATTGAGACATAACTTATTGAGACATAACACCATAAAATTCACCCATTTAAAATGTACAATTGAATGTTTTTCTTGTATATTCACAGAATTATATGATCATTACCACAGTTGATTAGAACATTTTTATCACACCAAAAAGAAACTCCATACCCATTATCTTTATTTTCCATTCCCTCCACCCCTACCTCCATTCCCAGGCAACCATTAATTTATTTTCTGTCTTTACTGACTTGTCTATTCTAGATATATCATAAACAGAATAGTAGAGTATGTGATTTTTTTGTTTCTGGTTCTTTCATTTAGCATAATGTTTTCAAGCTTCATCCATGTTGTAGCATGTATCAGTACGTAATTCTTTTTATTGACAAATAATATTCCAGTGTGTGTACCACAGTTAACGTGTTCATAACAGCTGATGGACACTTGGGTTGTTTTCACTTTAGGGCTATTATGAATAATACTGCTATGAACGTTCATGAACAAGATTGTTGTGGATACATGTTTCTGTATCTCTTGGCTAGATAACTAACAGCAGAATGACTAAATCGTATGGTAACTCTATGTTTAACATTTTGAGGAACTACAAATCATTATCCAGAATGCCTGCTCCATTTTATGTTCTTACTAGTAGTGTGTGAGGGCTTAGTTTGAACATCTTTTTGTCAACTCTTGTCATTTTCTCTTTGACTATAGCCCTCCTAATGGGGATGATGTGGTATCTTATTGGGCTTTTGATTTTCATTTCCTTGAAGGCTGTTGATATTGAGAATCTTTTCATGTGCTTGTTGGCTACTTGTGTATCTTCTTTGGACAAAAGTCTATTAGACTCTGCGCCTTTTAAAAATTGAGGTGACACTGGTTTATAGCTATTTGTTTCATGTGTACAACATTATAATTCGACTTCTGTATATACTATAGTGTGATTACCACCAAAAATCTTGTTTTCATTCATCACCATACAGTTGATCCATCTTACCCATTTTGCCCTCCTGTAACCCTTCTTCCCTTCCTCTAACCACCAATCTGTTATCTGTATCTATGTTTTTATTTTTTCATTTTTAATTCTTTTGGCTGCACAGCATAAAGGATCTCAGTTCCCCAACCAGGGGAACTGAGATCCCTCCAGTGGAAGCATGGAGTCTAACCACTGGGCAGCCAGGAAATTCCTTCTATGGGTTTGTTTTGGTTTTCTTCTATTTATTCACTTATTTTTGTACTTTTTATATTCCACATATGAGTGAAATCATACATTATCTTTTCCATCTGACATTTCAAGTAATATAATACCCTCAAGGTCCATTTATATTGTAAATGGCAAGATTTCATATTTTTATGGCTGTGTAGTATTCCACTGTGTATGTGTATGTGTATGTGTGCATGTGTATGTGCATGTGTATCGCATCTTCTTATCCATTAATCCTTTGATGGGTACTTAGATCATTTCCTTATCTTGGCTATTGTAAGTAAAGTTGCAGTGAACGTAACAGTGTATATATCTCTTTGAATTAACGTTTTCATATCCTTTGGATAAATACCCAAAAGCAGAATAGTTGGACCATATGGTGGTACTGTTCTTAATTTTTTGCAAGATCTCCATGATGTTTATTTACATTCCCACCAACAGTGTATGAGGGTTCCTTTTCTCTGCACCCTTGCAAATACTTGTTATTGCCTATGTTTTTTTTTTTTTTAAATAATAGCCACCCTATTGGGCATGAGGTAATATCTTATTGTGATTTTGCTTTGCATTTTCCTAATAATTAGTAATGTTGAACATTTTTTCAGGTGCCTGTTGGCCACCTGCATGTTATTTTTGGAATTTCTACTTAGAGTTCTGCCCATTTAAAAAATTTCTTTTGTTGTTGAGTTGCATGAGTTCTTTATATATGTCTTGATTACTATAGCTTTGTAGTATAATTTGAAATTAGAGAGTGTGACACCTTCAGCTTTGTCCTTTTTTTCTCAGAATTGCTTTGGGTATTCAAGGCTGTCTGTGGTTCCATACAAATTTTACTACTTTTACATTCTATTTCTGTGGAAAATATTGTTGAAACTTTGATAGGAATTGCATTGAAGCTGTAGATTGTTTTTGGCAATATGGAAATTTTAACATTGTTAATTCTTCCAATACTATAGTAAATAAGAGTGGTGAGAGTGGGTATACTTATTTCTTATCTAAGAGAAAACGCTTTGTTTTTCACTGTTCAGTAAGATGTTAGCTGGCTTTGACATATGTTATTTATGACCTTTATTCATTTTATTGAGTTTTAAAAATCATAAATGGATGTTGAATCTTGTCAGATGCTTTTCCTGCGTATGTTGAGATACTCATATGATTTGTATCCTTTTGTTTTTATGGTGTATCATATTGATTGATTTGTGGATGTGACTCACACTTGTATCCTTAGAATAAATCGCACTTGATGATGGTGTATAATCCTTTTAATGTGCTGTTGCATTTAGTTTGCTACTATTTTGTTGAGAATTTTTGCATCTATGTTTACCAAAGACATTGGCCTATAATTTTCTTTTTTTGTTTTGTTCTTATCTGGTTTTGGTATCGAGGTAGTGCTGGCCTCATAAAGTGAGTTAGGAAGCATGCCCTTGTCTTCAATTTTTTACTTGATATCTTTCTTTTAATGTTTGATAGAATGTGCCAGTTGTCTGATCCTGGGCTTCTGTTTTTTGGGATATTTTTGATTACTGTTTCAGCCATCAATAGTGATCAGTCTGTTCAGATTTTCTGTTTCTCCATGAATCAGTCTTAGAAAGTTGTTTGTTCTAAGATTTTATCCATTTCTTTTAGGTTGTCCAATCTGTTGATGTATAGCAGTTCAGAGTACTCTTGTACAATCCTTTGTATTTCTATGATATCTGTAATAATTTCTCTTGTTTCTGATTTTATGTGAGCCTTCTCTCTTTTTATCTTGGTGAGTCTAGCTAAAAATTTGTCAATTTTGCTTGTCTTTTCAAAGAACAAGGTTTTAGTTTCATTCTATTTTTTTTTTTAGTCTCTAATTTATTTCCACCAGGTTTTTTTTGTTTTTTGCTTTTTGTTTCCTTCCTTCTACCAACTTAGGGCTTTGTTTCTTCTTCTTTTCTACTTCTTTAGGTGTAAGCTTAGACTGTTTTTTTGAGATTTTTCTTATTTCTTGGGGTAAGCCTGTGTTGCTGTAAACTTCCCTTTTAGAATTGTTTTTGCTGCATCACATAGATTTTGGTATGGCGTATTTTCATTTGAATTTGTCTTCA